TGCGTAAAAAGTTCTTATCTTCAGTGCAATCTATTTTATTTCTCACCTGAGTGATCCTTTGTTCACACTGATTGACTTTTTTCTCCCATGAGAAGGGTCCAGAAAGGTCTTTGGATCACCCCAATTTGTCCTCTTTTGACTAAGGTTGCTTCCCTTCCTAGTCCCTTCCCCATCTTTTCCCATGGCCATCATTCAGTGGGTCACAGCAACTTTCGTTTTGTTAAATAAAGTTAGTGACATACTGCAACTGCTATGTGTTTACCTAGCATGGTACACATAATACTGCCAGTGTATCTTATTTATCTAGAACGGTGCAGCAGCAATAGGAATATATATACTGTATATAGAGAGATTTTATATATATACTCTAAATTCTGTGTGTGTGTGTGTGTGTGTGTGTGGAAAGAGAGACAGAGAGAGTATATATACTCTAAATTGTGCCAAAAACCTGTTGTTGCTATAAGCTAAAACATGTGTGAATGATGTAAATCAAATAGCATAAAAAGCAGTCTAAATAGTGAGCTATTCTGCCAGTGCAAATGTATTCTATAGCGTTTTCTTGGAAGAAACACTCACTAAGTAAAATTGTTTGTGATTCTACTGACATTATATATTTTTATATTTTTTAACCCTTTTCCCTTAGAAGGAGAAATAATCTAATGTAGTTTGTCCAAATGAAGGACTGTGACAGAAGGTGAAGTTTCTCAGTCCTGACATAAGCTCTTGGCTTCAGATAAAGTTACTCTAGGAATTATTTACACTTCTGTATCTATAAAAAAAATAAGATAACTACTCCAGAAATATGTAAAGCCAACCTTCCAGACAGCCTGAGCCACTAATTTCATGAAGCTGGACAACTCTTATATTAGCTTGTTAAATCCCGCTGAAATTAACTGACAAAATAATGTTAAATAGCATTCAAGAATAGGGCGTGTGGACTCATTTTCTACAATGTGCTGAAGTAACTATGACAGTAGTTACTACAAACAATTCTTGAGCCTGTAATGCTATAGCTAGTTTTATACATTGATATTTTGGAAACAGCCAAGAGAGTCTTGTGGCACTTTAAATACTAACACATTTGATTGGGCATAAGTGTTTACGGACTGTGGCCTAGCTGAAAACTCATTTCAAATAACAGTTGTTCACCTTGAAGGTGCTACATGACATTGTTGTTTTTGCTACAACAGAATAACACAGCTATCATCCCCATTATGTTTTTCAAGCTGCTGAAGCAAATTTCCCTCTATTAATAATCATCTTAAGGTAATAAGCACTGGCAAATTAAAATTCAACGTGTTGTTAGGGGGGCAATACTAATGGTCTCTTTCCACAAAAGAACAGCAGCTGCAAACAGTCAGAAAGCAGGGATTTAGAAATCAAGAGTATAGTGATGACATTATGAAAATTTCTTCTTTTCAGTTTAATTTGCAAAATAAGCATTTACATGGTGAAGTATAAAAGGCCCTGACACCAGATTCTTGTCTGTATCACCTAGGAAATTCAGGTTTTTTAACATCACACTGAGAGAAAATTTATGCCATTATTCTATACAATCCATATGTTGTTTCTCAGATTTTGTTATATGCAAATATGGAACCTTTTCTTTTGTGAAAAATGCTTATGTAATAAGAGAACATAACATGCCTAGGTAACAAAGATGGAAGGTACATAGTGAGTCTTTGTATACTTTACTGAGCAGTAAAGGAATATGCAAAATCTTTTAATACAGTATGAAGCAATTTAATTAAATACAGTACAGTAGCATACAATGCCTCTGTCTGCCTACATATAGAAAGCATATAAAATTAAAGAATTAACTGGCTATTTGGGTTTTTTTGGGGGGGGGACTATGTATAACTTGTAAAGGGATGAGGAGAACCTTGTGATCAGGATGCAAGGGTCATAAAATAAAACATGTTATCAAATCCAAACCTTTCGAGAAAAGTTTCCAGCAAAAGCCAAACACACATTTCTAAATGTGTGTTTGAGAAAGCTGTGTTCAGGTTTCACTAGGGACTTGTGGAAACCCCATTTGGTAGGAACAGGAATCTGTAAGCTAGCCTGAATCTTCATATGCAAGTACACAACAGGGAAGAGTTCACCTCTACCTCAGAGGCAGATTTACCAAGTGTTTAGATCAAAGCCCTTTTGATCTGCCTTTTGGGCAGGAGATAAGGGTCTTATCCTGCTTCCCTGAAGCCAGAGAGAGATGTGACCACTAAAGAGGATAGGATAGGCTGGAGAATCAACAAGCTAAAATAAGTAGGTCGTACCACTCAGACTTAACCAAACGGACACCAGATAGGGAAATTAGCTATATTAGAATAGTTGAATTTTTTTTTTAGATCGCCTGTTGCTGATCTTGTACCTTGCCTAAGAGATGGTGAAAATAGTATGTGTAACTTTTCTGCTTCGCTCCTATGACAAATCCAGTTCCTGTGACTCAACTTCTGGATAACTTCACTTGGGTGACTGAGAATCTTCACAGATATATTGCTACACATTTTGGGGTAGATACTCTGAAGCTGGTGTGAGAACATGAAAGGACAGCAAGAAAAGTGGCAGGCTACAGGAACCACTTGCGCTTCATCCTGAGATGCAGAAAACAGAGCCTCACACCAACAAGCCTATGCCTGTGTTCTACTGTAAGAAGCCAACGGGGGAGCAAGATTCTTCAGAAGGTACAAGAACAGCTGCTTAATGAAAGAATCCGACAGGTCTCCTTCATCATAGACACTTTTGGAACACAGAGTAGACCACCTTCACCAAGAGCTACTTTACACACTACCCAGACCAACACTGGATGCAGTCCTAGATTTTGTCCACAAAGCACAACTGGCCCAGCACTTCAAAGGCAAAGTGAGGCAAACCAAGAAATTTGATACACTTATTTTGTGAAAACAGTCAGCAGGGGAACTCGACAAGAAGAAGGAAAATGAGGGGACCACAGTGGAGGACACAAAAGAAAAATGGGTGAAGAAGCTCTCAGACAGGGAAATCACTCGGCTAGAGAGGAAGGTCTTAGCCAAAGGCCTACATTTTGCCATCACACCCAAACAGATTCCAGTTGTGGACTTCATGACAGCCACAGAATCACCTATCCAGAACAACAGTCTACCAGTGGCAGAAGATTCACAACTCTAGATAAAAGTTTCTGCAGCACTTTCCAGCACTGAATCACCACCATCCAACTTCACCTGACAGGAAAGAAGTGCTCTGACATCCCTTCATAGGGATGAGACCATCACCATACTGCCTGTGGACAAAGGAAGATGCTCTGTCGTCCTCAGCACTATGGATTACCACAGAAAAGTAAGCTCACTTTTGGAAGATCAACACACATACGAGAAACTGAAGAGGGACCCCACCAGCATTTACAGGAAGAAAGCTACAGAATACTTGAAACACTTGGAAAAGGACCACACCATCAACAGGGTTTGTGTCCAAGTTCAGGGAACTGAAACTAAATACTGACGAAACCATGGTATCCTTTGATGTCACACCCCTCTTCACCAGCATTCCCACCTACGATGCCCTAACAACTGTAAAAAGGAGACTGGAAGAAGACAACACCCTTTCCCCCAGAAGCAGCCTCAACCCGGACCAGATATGCCTGCTCCTAGACCTGTGTCTGAGTACCACTTACTTCACCTACATAGGGGATTTATATAGACAGAAACATGGCTGTGCAATGGGTTCCCTGGTGTCACCCATTGTTGCCAACTTATACATGGAAGAAGTGGAAAAGAAGGGCACTAACCCCATCCAGGGCATGACTCTGACCCATTGGTTAAGGTATGTGGATGACACCTGGGTGACAATCAAGATTCAGGAAGTACAGATCTTCACAGACCTCATAAACGCAGTGGACCCAAATATCAAGTTCTCCAGAGAAGACACCAAAGACAACCAGCTGGCTTTCCCAGACAATGCAGTCATCATAGGATCCAACAACAGTTTAGGAATAGAAATCTACAGAAAACCTACACACACGTATGGTTTGACTCTCATCACCCATTGTAACACAAACTAGGGGTCATCAGGACACTAAACCACAGAGCAAGAAACATCCCCACCTCCACAGAAACCAAAAGGAGGAAGATGCACATCTGAAGGCCTGTGGATATCCAAAATAGGCCTTTACTGAGGCAATATACCAACCCAGCAGGACAATGGAACAGTCTGATACCCAGAGCCGATGGAGGAACCTGGTCATTCCTTACATGGTGGGTGTGTCTGAAAAGCTCAAAAGGATTTTTGGTAAACACCACATACCCATGCACTTCAACCCACAAACACACTAAGGCAGAGACTCATCCACCCAAAAGACTGGGCACTAAAATAAAACAGGAGCAATATAGTATATATTGCAAAGAGGAGTGTTCGGACCTCTACACTGCAGAAATCAAACAGCCACTGAAGAGGAGAATGGCCCAGCACAGGAGGGGCAACAGCACAGGACCACAATCAGCAGTGTTCCTTCATTTGAAGGACAAAGGACATTCATTTGATGACAAAGAAGATAGGTGGTTTGAGAGGGGGTCAGGGAGATTGTTTCAGTATGTATTTCCATGGATGACAATCCACATCCTCAGACTTCTAGGGAGGTTTCTTAGACTTCTGAAGAAGTCTCAGACTCGAGACGTCTGAGGACATGTGAACAAGAAAATTTACATTAAAACACGTCTTTTAAGTCTTAAATGGGCCACAAGATTTTTGGTTTTGGCACATATCCTGAAACAGTCTAATGCACCCACTTCTCAGAAAAACCTATTTGTGAATTATGTTAGACCTTAGTGGACAAAGGCAGCAACAATGGCATTACTTAGCAACATATTTACCATAAAGAGTGAAAGTAAACAGACATAACGACAGTTTCCACAACTTTCACCCAAAACAACTTAATTTAAGAGTAAACTGCACAGAAATTAATGCTGTAACTCTTCTGACTAGATATGAATAGGACCATCCTGCTTGGATGTACAAATGGCACTTACTTCCATACATTCCAGCGCTGCTCTTCCAGCTGAGTCAGCAAATGGTCAATGTATTTATTCGAGTCCACATATTCCTGTGAGGAGGGAAAGTGATCAGTTAAATAATTTGCGACTCTCAGGAAGGGTTAACAGACATAGAAGTTTAAATACATTTAAAATTGTTTTCCCATATCTGTATTTTTCTCCTGCAAGGTTCAGAGCAACTTTAAGAGCAAAAGCTGTAGCATTTGGATAAGGAATAAATATATGGCAAGAGGATTAAAATCCGTCTCCTGCATTACAGTGAAAACAAACAAAGCCAGGAGATCCTGGCATGCATCCCGTATGTTATACAGTATATCAATTGAACTTAGAAGGAATATTAATTTGAGATAGTAGCACATGTACTCAATGAGAGTAAGAGATTACAAAGAGTAATCTCCGTGGAGTAAGATACTGCAACTTGTCATTATCTAAACATGTGAAGCATCTTGTGCTTCTTTTTAATTAAATGTAATATAAACAGGAACATTTGATTCATAAATGAAGAGTTATAAGATTGTACAATTACTATGTTATGCAATTGTTAAAAGTAATCTTACAAATAAATAGTAACCTTATTAGAGAAAGGTTTTGATTGTGTGATTCTGTGTCAGCAGATGACACAGTACTTGTTTGTTATTTTAATGCACGAACCAAAATACCCCCCTTTGTGGGGCAATATATTCTTTGCCCCACATTGGCAGCTAATGACTGTCAGTTTTTGTTGTGTATCAAACACGTCTTTCTTCAGTCACTCCTCATCACGGAAGAGTGAGTGCAACGTGGAAGCACCTTGAATGAGGCAACACCACCACATCTCTTTTTAACACAAAGCTAGATGTTACAAGACAACAGAACACATTTTATTTTCTCAGAATTTTTCAGAATCTTTCTATGCACTTCTCAATTTAGCAGTAACTCTGAAACAGAGCAGATGCCTTACTTCCAGAAAACATATATGAGTAAACAGGTCCATGAATGCATACCCTGTTTTCCCAAAAATAAGACCTAACCTGAAAATAAGCCCTAGTATGATTTTTAGGATGTTCGTAATAAGCCCCAAAATAAGCCCTAGTTAAGTGAAACCCCACCTTCCACCATTGTGCAGCATTGTGCAGCAACCATTGTGCAGCAACCAGAAGATGATATGACTGTAAAATAAAACATGCACTGTTGTGGACCACATGCATCAAGAAAGCATATGCATATGAGTAAGAAATGCAATAATGTATAGGCACAGGACCAGCAGCATGGGAGGACTACATATATCAAGGCTAGGGAACCTATGTTTCCATGCTGAGTGAGATTTCTAAGAGCCAAAGGTCAAAACATGGTGTCTCTTACCCTACCCACAGGCTACATTCAGTTATGCATAGCAATCAAATGATCAGAAATAAAGGTACTCTCACATGCACGAAGGACATCTTTCTGTGAATGCAACTGCCTTTGACCCAACCAATGTTACCAATGATGTTAAAAAAAAATACTGGATACTCTCTTTGGAGGAAATGTCGCCTTTGCTTTTCTATTGCAATAGTTCTTTAAAGGAAGAGAAACAGATAGGGTAGAATGAGGATGTCAACCAAACCCAGTCTCTCTGTTTTGACATTATCTCTCCAACTTACATTCAGAAGCAGAGGAAAACAAAGAACTATAAATCATTGGGAATTTAGATCAGAAGTGCAGGTGTGAAGTAGCAGCAGGTGCTCAGGATTAGATCTAGAAATGAACTAACTACCCTACTATCCTCATCTCTTTTAGTTGTGTATCTTTCCCCTCTAAAAGCCTTGTTCTCCTTTTGACAGGATACAGGATCAAAGGGGAGCTTGGAAGTTCAAGGGTACAAAGACAGGAAGTTTAAATAATAAAAAAAATTAAAGTCTGTAGACAGATCTGAAAATGCTAATACAAGTTAGTCAAAGTAGCTCCACAGTATCTTATGCCTAAAGCAAACTATATGTCAAAAAAGAGACGATACCAGACAAAGCCAAGCAAAGTATGATCTCATGTGTGCAGCAATTTATAGATTTTTTAACCTGAGGTAAAGCTTTAGGTTAAGGAAACTTTGATGATTTTACTTTGAAAATATTCCAGTTATCCCATCAATGTTTCTCTCTCTCTCTCTCTCTCTGCTTCTCCCTTCCCTTCCCAACCACACATAGGTACAAAGATATTGCAACCATCTTTGTTTTTAATTAAATAGATATTATATAATAAACTATACTTGGTATTTCAGTCCTTGCATGATCTGCTGAGACAGACAGCCACTTTAAAAAAAAAGGTGGCTATCAGAAAAGATAAATAGAACCTCTGATAGGAGGTTAGGCTTGTATGAGAGTTTCCTCATAAAAGCATTCCTATAGCAGACACATGAATAAGTTAGCCACTACAAACTATAGAATTTTGCTTGACCTGTTTACTATTCTTATTCTACATTTTGGTTTTGTTGTTGTATTAGTAACCCTAGTGGGATATTCTAAATTTTACATGTAGCATATATTATCAGTGACCAGATAGGTGGGGTATAAATGAAATAAATAAATAAATCACTTGGAAAATGAATAAATCATGACCTGGAACTCAATTAAAAATATAAGAAGAGCTTCTTAAACAGAATATTTGGCAGAGGTTTCTTAATTGTTCAAAATCACTTAAGAATCAGCTCGTGTTTTGTATTAAACCTCAGTAAAAATGATTAAAGCTGATTTATCTACCTGAATTTATCTACTTAAATCTTAAAAAAAATTCCACTCCTGCAAAATTTACCTCAGCATCCTTTCCTAATACAATTCTATTCAAGGAATGGATGCAGTTTAGCATCAGATGAAGTTGAATAACCTAACTAAGAGCCTGATAATACAACATTTTCCCTCTCTTGTTCTGAGGCTCATATAGGATGAGAAATGACAGAAAATCACCACTGCTAGTAAAGTCATCATGCCAGTGGCAAGTTTCAGTCATTACAGACTTCCCCCATTCTATCCCTCATCTTCTACAGGTTCCCAATGGTGAAAGGGGTTATTTGGGATATCTATGGGCTTTGCAACAGGAGAAGGAAATGTCTACTTGGTGAAAAATCATCTCGCTGATGACATCCTCAGCCTTAAACTGCAGAACTTAAATGAACAGGATTTCATAGAAAGTGCTTAAAACTCCTGCTTAAAACTCCTGCTAAACTCCTGCTAAAATTTTATGTAGATCAGTGGTTCTTAACCTTTGTTATCCCAGTCAGCACAGCTGGTGGTGAAGGCTTCTGGGAGTTGCAGTCCAAAACTCCTGAGTAATCCAAGGTTAAGAACCAGTGATGTAGATCACTAACGTGAGCTTCTTCTGAGGACATATCCTCAAGGTGCCCTCCCTCTGGAATTCTAAACTGACTCTCAAGTTTTAGCACATGTCATATAACCAGAACACCAGTTGGGAACAGGTGAAGATATTGTGTTAAGCTCTTGTTCATTTTGTGTGTGGAGCCTCACTTGGATGCTGGGACTTGGAAAAGGCATCAGTAGAAGAGTCAGCATTGTTTCCAGGGAGAAACAGGAAATGCTGGGGTAATGGGAGGGCATAAAATGGGAAGCCACTCCACCTTCTTCCCCACTCTACCTCCCAGTTATGACTAGACTAAAATGCAGCAATCAGGAAACCAAGCTTCTTACTGAGACTGACTTGGGGGTTAATAATCAAGTTCTGAGTCAGCAACATTTAATGTGGGCAAGCAGAAACCATGCTACTGCAGGATCACTGTTGACAAGAAAACAGGTCAAACAAAATACACCGGGCATAAAGTGATGATTTAAGTAACTGACCTCTGCAGCATATGGTACTTGAGTATGATTCATGGATGTGATGGATTAAATGAGACAGGAGGGGTTAACAAAGCATGAAAAGCATTTATGTGCAGTGTCAGAAAAATGTAGATGATTGTTGTCCTTTCCTGATGCAGTTTTCATGCTGGTATTTAGATATGCAGTACCATTATAGGGCATCTTTTTTTTTTATCCAACACTTTGGCTCCACCCATATGATCAAGGGCTTCCAAGAGAATCAGATCTGAGTTCAGCAAAGAACACAGACCAGAATATTGGGAAAATTGAAAAGAATAAAATAAAAGGAGTGGGGGAGAAATAGCACAAAATATTTTGGAACATTAGAGTCTTAGAGATTTACTTCAGTGTGAGCTTCTGTGGTTCAAAATCCACTTCTTCAGACACTGGGAATGCATATATGGTGTGCATCATATAGAGGAAGCATGTGGTGTTCTCTGAGTGTCTGGTGGAATTTGATCCACAAAAGCTCCCACTGAAATAAATCTGTTAGATTTTGACTGATAGAATATTTTGCTTCCTCCCTTTTCTTTGCTTTTCTTTGCTTTGCTTTGCTTTGTTTTGCCCTGCTTTAATTTTACCAACAAACTGAGGGCTACTCCTTTGGAAAGAGACCAAAAAGTTTTTGTGCTGGTATTTCACGTGAATTTAAAAAAAGGTGTCTTTAAACTCTTTGGGAGAAATAATGTGCCCAATGAAGAAATGAATCAACCAGTTTGCAGTCTGCCCAAACCAGTTAGCTTCCCTTTTCGGAATGCTCGCACTGCTGTTTACTGAGAAGGGATTCCATCTGTACCCAGGGAGAACCGCTTGAAAGTTTTAGCAGCAGCAGTTGCCTTGTTTGGCATAGCAAGTGCCACCTGTCTAGTGAGCAATGGCAACACCAATGCCTCTACTACGCTCATCGTTCTAGAACTGCTGGGTCCTTCCTCCCTTTTCTCTTGGGCATCAGACAGAGTCCTCCCCCCCTGAACTACAACTGTTATGCAGCAAAACAAGAACAGACATGCCCCAAAACGTCAGTCAGTCCGTTGAGAACTCTAAAATGAAAAGGTAAAATCTCATTTTCCTCTGAGTTGTTACCGAAAGCTGCCTTGTCACTGGGGACCATTATGAAGAAGGGCAAGAATTTTCATTCACCGCACCACTACCAACGTCAAACAAGAGCCTAGGAAGCAGCATGGTGAGACATAGCCTGCAATTCCCTACAAAAAGTGAACTCGTAAAGG